TAGAATTTAAAAAATCCGAGGGTACCAGTGAATTCAGAGGGTCGAAATCAGTGGGAAATGAGTGAATAGACCAAAAAATAGGACCAGAAATGCACTAAATTGGCTTGTCAAAGTGAGTGGAGTAGTCTGGTCAACAAATCCGGTCAAACAGATGATGTCACGGGCGACAGTGATGATGTCATAGGCGCGGCGCACGTTAGCAGAGAGGTGCGCGGCGCACAATAGCAGAGGAGAGCAGGCGGCGCACGAAAGCAGCTTAGGGCTGACGTCAGGAACACGCGGCTCACGTTAGCAGAGGAGGCCACGGCGCACAGTAGCACGGGACAGTGTAAGAGGCGCGTAGAGCGCGTCGGAGAACGAGGATGAGCGTGGCTTGAAGTTCTGGCGGTGCGTGGAGGCGCGTGGAGCGTCGGCTGGTGATGAATTTGGTGGCGGTGGATTCGTCGTGAGGAGACGAAGGTACTGGTGTGGTCCAATAAGAAAGACAGATAAGGGCAAGATATGCAACAATCTGTCAAAATGTGATGCAGACACAACAATCTGCGAAGAAGAAAAAAAAAATGTAGTGCAGCGGAAGAAGAGACTAGGCAAAACACCTGTGCTCTGATACCATGTGAGATATGTAAGATATCTGAATGAAATGTTGTATTTTCTATATCAGTTGGTTACAAGAGTGATGCTTATTTATAGGGAAAGCACCGAAAGGAGAAGACATAATAATGATAGTGTGTGAGTGGTGTTTGGTCTTTACAACCGAAAGAAGAAGAGAATCCTATGCCCTATGTTGTCTATGTGTTATCTTATAATATATTATACTATATACATTACATTTATACATTAACACAAACAATTACAAACGAGACACGAATTGTCTCACAAATCACCCTTAGGTAAATTCAAATAATCACAAATAAATAGAGAAAAGACCTCACAAAAGTAGATGAACCAATTGTCCTCAAAACAAAGTATAGAAGACCGAAAATAATAAACCCAAATCAATCTCCACAACAAAACCTTTGAAGTTGCACTGAAAGTTCGCACTAAACAAATAAGATTGAACCAAGTTCGTTTCTTCCAGCCAAAATACATTCACAGTACTTGACAAATTAAACCACTGAATTGGTCCTTCTCACAAGCACACATCCGGGCCATTTCTCTAAATAAGTCAAATTATCAATTTAATTCCTAAACTAGGCTTGGTTTTGAAAGAATTCTCAAAATAGGCTAAAACGTGGTTCACAATCACGCTTTCAAAGTTTGTGTGCCTGTCTCGCGTGAAAATTGAGAAATCGTAAAAGCGTGATTCCAAACCACGCTTTTAATTAAGAAAGCGTGGTTACAAACCACGCTTTTAATTAAATTTTTTTTCCTTCTGAAAGCGTGGTTGTGAACCACGTTTTTAGCTTACATTTTTTTTTTTGGTTCTGAAAATGTGGTTGTAAACCACGCTTTTAGCTTAATTTTTTTTTTTTTTTTTTCCTGAAAACGTAGTTGTGAATCACGCTTTTTACCAAAAAAAAATTTTCTTCTGAAAGTGTGGTCGTGAACCACGCTTTCAATACAAAAATGATGTTACTGATTGGTGTGCTGTGATTGGACCAACTGATACATAAAGTAAAGTGAATACTCATCAACAGTTGGTCCAATAAATTTATTTCATAAAAAATAAAATAAATTTCTAAAAAATAAATTTCTAAAAATAAAAATAAATTTCTAAAAATTTACGCTACCTTAGTATTTAGGGATAAAATTTATTTTTTTTATTTTACTAAAATAAAAATAAATAAATTTTAAGAATTAAACCCTAAACCCTAAAATAAAAAAAATAAAATTTATCCCTAAACACTAAGGTAGCGTTTGGTAACGTTTACGTTTTCTGTTTATATTTATGAAAATTTTATAAACTGATTTTTATTTATTTTTAGAAAAACCTAAATTAAAAATGAGTTTTGTTCTGGTTTCTGAAGCCTCTAGGGCCTTCAATTTGCAGTATAAAGTTAACCACCTAAACATGCATTAACGAGTCAGACAAAATAGATTTCCAATTAATTTTCCCCAATAGTTCTAAAAATTCCCATTAAAATACCCAAGTACTCAATTTTGATTTCTGAACCCGTAAAGGTCGGTAATTTCAATTTTACAGTCGTGGCTCAACAAATAATTCCTCAATTTGAACACATATCAATAAATCAAAATGCATTAACCCAATAGGCCGTAAAGGTAATCTCTAATACGGATTTTGGGGTCGTTACAGTTCTTAGGGCAGGTTTTGTTCAAATCAGTGAAGTCCACGCAAACATGCCATGATCAATTTTTCTTCTTTACGACCACGGTATTGTATAACGACATGGGATAAGTTACTTCCTGAATTGCCCTTAACTTCCAAGATAAATATTTTAGGCCTGAATAAACATATTTTTTATTTTATGTTTTTAAAATTTTTTAAACATTTTGTTCAAACCAAACTCGTTTGTAATTTATGTTTTTCTAAAAATAAATAAAGGTAATACTATAAAATTTTCATAAATATAAACAAAAAACGTAAACATTACCAAACGCTACCTTAGTGTTTACGGATAAATTTTATTTTTTTTATTTTAGGGTTTAGGGTTTAATTCTTAAAATTTATTTATTTTTATTTTAGTAAAATAAAAAAAATAAATTTTATCCCTAAATACTAAGGTAGCGTAAATTTTTAGAAATTTATTTTTATTTTTAGAAATTTATTTTTTAGAAATTTATTTTATTTTTTATGAAATAAATTTATTGGACCAACTGTTGATGAGTGTTCACTTTACTTTATGTATCAGTTGGTCTAATCACAGCACGCCAATTAGCAACATCATTTGTGTATTGAAAGCGTGGTTCACAACCACGCTTTCAGAAGAAAATTTTTTTTTTGGTAAAAAGCGTGATTCATAACTACGTTTTCAGAAGGAAAAAAAATTAAGTTAAAGCGTGGTTTACAACCACGTTTTTAGAACAAAAAAAAATTTAAGCTAAAAACGTGGTTCACAACTACGCTTTCAGAAGGAAATTTTTTTTAATTAAAAACGTTGTTAAACCACGCTTTCTTAATTAAAAGTGTGGTTTGGAATCACGCTTTTACGATTTCTCAATTTTCACGCGAGACAGGCACACAAACGTTGAAAACGTGATTGTGAACCACATTTTAGCCTATTTTGAGAATTTTTTCAAAACTAGGGCTAATTTGAGAATTAAATTGATAATTTGGCTTATTTAAGGAAATGGCTCCACACATCCACCGAAATATATCCATCAGCCGCTGCACACTTTTTGGGAAAAACAAAGACAATATCAAAAAAATGATGTTGCTTCTTGGGCTTTTTATCAAAGTTTTAACTGTTACCAAACATATTATTAAATTTTTATTGGGCCTCCAAAAATCAAATATAATATATAAAAATATATTATAATTAACATCAAATCAAATTAAATATTTTTAATAAATCAATTGAGTCTCATACTCTACTAAGGAGATATACCCAACAATTCTTCCCTTACTGACTTGTGTGGAACTATTAACCATATCCGCCAAAGTTTGACACTTCAAATGTTTGTCCCTCGACAATGTCTTAGTTAACATATCCGAAATATTATCATCCATGTGAACCTTTTCGAATTATAACAATTTTGAATCTAACACATCACGAATCCAATGGTATCTCACATCAATATATTTCGATCTCGAATGAAAGGTAGATTTTTTTACTCAAATGAATAGTATTTTAACTATCACAATAAAACATACACCTTTCTTGCTTCAAACCCAATTCTTACAAAAATTTCTTCAACTATAACTCTTCCGTGCAAGCTTCTGTAATGGCAATAAATTCAACTTCCGTAGTTGAAAGAGCAATACATTTTTGCAATTTAGATTGCCATGCTACAACTCTCCTGCAAAAGTCATCAAATACCCCGAAGTAGATTTTTTAGAGTCAACATCACCGGCCATGTAGGGATCTGTGAACCCATCAAGCATCGGCTTACCATTCCCAAAACACAAACACACCTTCAAAGTCCCTCGAAAATACCTTAGAATCTATTTCACCGCTGCCCAATGTTCTTTACCGAGATTAGAGAGAAAACGATTCACTACACGAACGACATGAGCAATATTCGACCTTGTACAAACCATGACATACATCAAAGAACTAACCGCTGAAGCATAAGGAATTTTCAGCATATCTTCCTTGTCTTTTTCACTCGTACGACATTGATTTGAACTAAGTTTGAAATGACCCGCAAGTGGACAACCAACCGGCTTTACTTTATTCATGTTAAACCTCTCAAGAACCTTCTCAATGTAACTTTCTTGAGACAACCAAATCAGTCCATTCTTTCGATCACGAACAATCTTCATACCAAATATTTGTTTTACAGGCCCCAAATCTTTCATCACTACAATAAAAAAGGATTTTTACAGCACCAAATGCATGTTGTGGAAACAATTCTACAACGCGCAAAATAAAACCATGTTATGACCAATCATGGAAAATCATTCACTTTCAACGGCATGCTATAGCATGTCATTAAAACTTTTAACAATGCATCTTACATGTCATGTTTAATTTTTCTAGGACTAGTTTTGAACACTATTAATTCAAGAGACAAACCATGACACTCATTACTAGTCATTAAATATTTAATACAACTGCTTATTCTGCCCGTCGTAGATTATGTTTTTTTTTTTTTTTCAACACGTTCTATTCTATCTGTTTTGTACAATCTAAAAAAACATTACAAACAAATTTCATAAATATATATATATATATATAAGTATCAATCAACCACTAAAATATTATTTCAAGCATCAAAAAAACTATTTATAAGTTTTGAACATCCAAAAATTGTCTATACATTACAAATCATCCAAAAACTATGTTTCTAAATATCAAAAACTGTCCTCAACTTCAAAACCGTCCAAAAAGCTCTAGATCATCCCCCCCCCCCCCCAAAAAAAAAAAAAAAAACCTATCTTTAAGTTCTAAAGGTACAAAATTTACCCAAATATCTTCTTGCGAATGCACCATCATGGGTTAATTCAATTACATCAACACCCAGCTTGTGCCGCCCATATCTTTATATTAGAAAATTTCTAGTATCTTGGATTTCGTCTTAAGAAGCTTTCTTTCTTACAGCAACCAAGCTTGAAACAACATCAGTAGAAAGAGCATATATTAAATCATAACCATGGATAAAATACTCCCTCCCAATAAAATAAGATAGCAGCTCATACCTGCATGAATTAAACTGATTTTATTACTTCATAATAGCAATTATAAAGTTAGCACTTAGCACTAATTTTTGCCTAGGATAGCTCTAATTCCAACTTCTACAAAAATTTTAGAGGTTGCCTCTTTGCCACATAGCAAGAAGGACACTTTATATTATTATCTATCAATATCCTCCAGATCCTATGTAAATGTTTCCAAATTAGTTAACATAATTAAACCAAGAAAAATCATGTTGAAGAGGGAAGCAGAGGCTCAAGACAAGAAAAGGAGGGACAACAAACCCTAATGTTGAAAGAGACCTGATACTAGTAGTTTGAATTTAGTAGCTTCCTTCAAACGTTCACCTTTAGCACTAGAACTCTTCTGCCTGTGATAAAAAAAAAAATGATAATAAATTAGTTGATAAAATTGTAGGTACATGATTCAATCCTGTTATCAAACAGGAGGGCTCCACTTTCTAATTATTCAGCATACTTTATTCAATGATGTTACCTTTCAGAACTGGCTCGAGTGAACAGGTGACGAGTTACCCCTTGGGATTCCCACTAAACATGAACCACCGATTAGAATCCCAACACCCAAATAAAAGCCACTAAAATAACAAAAACAACAAGACTGCTCACCTTACTTTCAATGATGCATGTAAACACACTATGAGAACGGCTACTTGCTAGATTCATATTAGTGGCAGCTACCTTCCTGTTTGCTGCTCCCTGGAGCATGATTACATTAATGGAAAACAGGATAGGTACGTTTGTTCGTTGAAAGACAAACATGCACCAACAACATGCAGATCATCCATAAGTAAGCATACATTTTGAATACCAAAGCAAAATAAACTAGAAATTATTAAAGTTCAATTTGAGCGGGAGATTGAGGAAATCAAAATTGATCGTGAACATATTAAATCTAAATCAGTATTGATGCCCAAATTACCAATTTCAGCTCATTGTTTTCTGAATTCCATTTTCCCTGTTTTACCAAAAACAAATGATACGCTGCCAACAAAAGCCAAATTTTGCATCTTTATACTTGTAAAGGTTGGAAACCAATTTTCTTGCTTCCTTCCATTCCTTCTCATTTCCAAAACAAGCAACTAAAGGCAATTATCAAACTTAATTATTCCAATTAACCATCACTACCATTTCAATAAAGAAACAGATCTAGATAGAAGATCAATGACCTCTGACCAAGTCAAATTGTTGCGAGTCATTAAAATATCGGATTCAATTCTATCGTAACAAACTAAGTAGTTCTAGACATTTGTATACATAAAATTTATTAACTTGCTGAGGTTGAGGATCAAGAATAAAAAAGAAAATTAAGTGAAGCTAAATGCATACATGCACAAGCTGTTGAATAACATCCCGAATGCATTAGCTTGGTGAGTATCATACAAGAAAGCCTGCAATAGTTATTCATCTCTATAGTACATGCAATACGAAATCACTTTAACAAATAATGACAGAACATAAATTTAACAACCTTGATTTCAATTAAACTTTCAACTTAAATTCATGGGATAAGAACACAACTAACTGCATTAGAATATGTAACAAAACAACCAAGAAAGTTCAGTTGGAGGTACATTTTACATAAGTCCCACATAAAGTTTGTGCAAACATAATTGGTGAGCATAGAAGAAATTGAAGACATGTATGAGTGAATAAAAATACCTTTAGATTTTTACATATGAATCCTTAGTGTTCTGTAGGTGGTCAAGAAGTCCGCCAGGGGTTGCTACTAACAGGTTTACTCCTTTCACAATACACTCAGCTTCTCCCCTGTGGGCTGCACCACCAATAACCATGCCAAGAGTCTGTGAATGATGATTGAGAAGGTCCTTTGTCATTGCATGTGTCTGCATAATTTCATTGGAAGATTAGTCCAGGTCGTTACTTAGAAAAAATGACAATCCATTATAATTGAATGCAACTAATTTGGAAGATGTATATATATAGAAAGCAACAAGACCCCCAAAACAAAAGAAGTGTTATTAGAAAAGATGAAGTGGATTATCTTTCTTTTCTTAACGATTCAAACCAAATGAAATTAAAATCAGTGGAAGGTAAAACACGATTTCCAAAATTAGTAGAAAATGATGAAAAATAATTCTTGAGAAGAGCTTAGAAGATGATCTAACACAGACAATAAGAAGTAACTACCAAAAAATAATATTATAAATGCACTCTAAGATTGAGAAAGAGTTGAAATGATGAAGGAAAAATACTTCTATAATCAATATTAACCTTCTAGATTTATTATCTTTGTAGAAACAAGGATAAAATAGGGATGGATGTATTCTATAATGATTTTTTCTTTTCAATTTGCTTGTTTAGAAAGTACAAATATCACAAAAAGAGTTGTAATTGAGAGGATTATAGTGTAGGATTAATAATTGGAATCACATCACAGGCTATCTTGGGAAAAAGTTTGATATTGATAAGTAAAAAAAATAAAAATAAAATAAAAACCAGAATATTTACCTGTATGGCAAGTTCCCTAGTTGGGCAGTTGACAATTACCCCCATTCAGATTTGATGTAACAACTCCACAGCAGGTATCAGAAAAGCAAGGGTCTTTTCAGAACCTGACCTTGCAGCTCCAATAACATTTTTGCCTTCCAAAAGTGGCAGAATAGATCTGGCTTGGATTTGCAATTGGAATCAGAAGTTAACTCAAGGATATATGTTCTATCTACGGATATCTACATAAAGTAAACAGTTATGACAATACAAATATAACAATCAGCATATCAAATTTACATACAAATAATTCATGCTCTCTGTTTACAAAGAGATAGGTAATTCATTCCGTTAAGAGCAAATTATGTTAACAACAATGATCAAACTTAAAGATTCATTTACATACAGGAAGTGTGTAACAACATCACAGAGTGCTAGAAAATTCAGTGAACTAGGTTTTTTTGTTTTCTGTCAATGACAATAGGTGAATAATGGTATGCCACTTTATAATACATGAGAACTGTGAATCCATTAACAGGTTGAGACTTAGAAAAAAGCATTTCAAATCTTTTCCTATCACCTCCAGGCATATAATTTGGGCACATATATTTTCTTGATTTTAATTATTAATTCTCTAGTTACTACTAGAATGGGGAAAAAAGGAAAACAAACATTCATATATTTGTTTTTTCCTTTGAAAACTGTAAGAATGTGAATATCTAGTTAGTAAACCATGTTAGTAGTATCTCAGGATATTCTTTCAGTCTCAAAATACAATGAATATGAGGTATGAGTCCGGTACAACCAACAGAGCACAGCATAAGGGCATTCAACAAGGAATGTCCCAGAACAGCAAATGGGGATCAAAACCAATCACAATGCTTCATTCAGCAACCAAATTTAGTTGCCACTTGACCTTAAGATATGTGACAAACAAACAAATCCAGCGTTCCTACCTCGCACAAGAAAACCAACACATTACATGGATTTAATAGATGGGAATCAACAGTATTCTGGCAATGGCAGTAGTTATTATTATTATGATTATGCAAGAAAATCTTGAAAATTTAGAGAAGTAGTCAACTTTAGTGTTGCAGAGAATGGAAACATTTGTTTTGGGGTTGCTGTTTCTTTTACTCCAAAAATTGTTGACACGGAGATTTCTACCAATCAAGCCACTTTTTTTTTTTTTTTTTTAACTAGGAAATGCCCTCAAGCTACAAAGGAATGGGCAGCTCGGTTACAATCAAGCCACCTTGAACAAGAAAATAGGCTAAAAAAAAAAAAAACCCCACAAAAACAGGGTTCCAAACACCATAAAAAAAAAAAAAAAAACCACAAAAACAGGATTCCAAACACCATAAAAATGAGGTCAAATAGATGGGAACCCATATCATTGACAGAAATTTATGAAAAGGTAACCATTTGTCAAAAAGTCTTGCATAGCATGATATGACAAACTGTAACATTTTATAGAGAAACAACATTTAATTGATATAGATTCCTCCGTTCGTACATTGAACAGGTAAATAATTACTATAAAACCGCAGGAGAAAGACATGTTGAATTTATTCTTGGTTGAAAATAGATTACCTGGGACAAAATTCGCTGCTTGTTCCTAATTTGAGTCCTTGCCTTGTTCATGACTGAGTTAGGTGACTTGTAGAACCTCTGTATGAAAGAACAAATAGGATTAGAAGGAAACTAATAAAATATAATAAAGAAAAAAATAGATGTGTGGTCTCTGGGTTTTCAAGAAACACAGAAAGCAAATAACAATGGGCTCAGGTTTGTGTAATCTGACATATTTATTTATTTTTAAATATATTTTTTGGGGTTTTCATATTTCAATTGTATAAGCAAATGGGGTTTTCTTCAATTCACGTCAATCAAATTAATTACAGTAGGCAAAAATTACAGGTTTAGTAAATTCAAGGTGAAGAAACTATTGAGAGGTAGAACAGCGAAGGGGCAAAGATCTGAGAAGTTGAAAATTATAGTTAGGGTTTGCAATTGGGGGAACGAGAGAGAGGGAGAGAGAGAGAGTGTTTACCTGATGCAAGAAGTTTGAAATCGAGAGGATTAGCAATGGTAGAGTGTAGGCGGTTCTACGCACTGCCACCGAACCTCCTTCATCTCTCCACAGAACCCCACTGCTGCTCTAACGCAGCTCCTGTTTCGTTTCGTGTCCTGTTAGCCAACTTCTTCATGTTTGCTCTCTGCCTTGGTCAGTTCGCCGCCGACCTCACAGTGGGGAAACAGGGCGCCACCACGGCGTAAGACATTTTTGGTAGTGGTGGCCTAGGTTTGTGCTTGTATGAATGTTGGAGAGAAAGAGTTCTTCTTTTTTTTTTATTTTTTTTTTAATATATATATATATATATATTTTTTTGTGGTGGTGATTTTGATATATTTGTTTTTTTAAGAGTTTAGTTTTGGAATTTTTACCCATGCAGTTGCTGAAAACTCATTTGTTTATTCCTTATTTTTTTTTTTGAATTTATACTCTCTCTCTCTCTCTCTCTCTCTCTCTCTCTATATATATATATATATATATGTATAACTTTGTAGTCTTCACTTATTCTTGCTTTGTGTCGTTATACAGAAATGGCGCTACAACATACGATTGGGTTCGGACATTTTCTTTCTCTTATCCGCTGAAAGAGAAAAATTTTAAAGATTCCCCTTGTTCTTCCGTTGCTGGTACCACTACTAATCAGTTTAAGGAAAAAGGGTGGAAAACTGGTGTGCTTTCCTCAAGGATGGACAATTCTACCCCTGTCAATATCATCGCCAAACTTTCCGAAGTCACCTTCCCGAGTGCGCCCCTTTCTGTTATAATATCAGTTGCTATAAAGATTATTTTAGCTTGCATATTCCTGACGTATATTTCCTGTGAATTTTATTATGAAAGGCAGGCTGGTGGTTTCACATTAAGCAAATTAAGAGCTTCTAGAATAGCTGAAAGACTCAAGCCTGATGATGATGGGGGGAAAAAGGATGGAGAAGCATCTAGTGGGAGTGATGGGGAGGATGATGATCCCTTACTTATGGATGAGGAACAGAGGCAAGAATGGAGCAGGAAGATTAGAGAAGGGATTTATATGAATCCGGATGTCGAAGAGGAAGTAGACCCTGTCAAGAGGAGGAAGAAGATGCAGAAGCTTTTGGCTGATTATCCACTTGTGGAGGAGGATGATCCTGATTGGCCCAAAGATTCTGATGGGTGGGGTTTCAGCTTGGGTCAATTCTTCGACAAGATTACTATAAAAAATGTTTAGAAGGATGATGATGATGAGAATTATGATAGTGAAAATGAATTGGTGTGGCAAGATGACAATTACATTCATCCAATCAAAGACCTCACCACCAGAGAACAGGAAAAGACTGTGTTCAAGGACTTCAATCCTTTGATTGTCTTTGTGCATAATCGATATAGAAGGTTAGTTTTCAGTGTTTTTTTTTTTTTTTTTTTTTTTTTCAGTTTGCTTCATTTTCCCTCTAATTTCTCATTCCAGTTGCTTTTTTTTTTTTTTCCCCCTGAACATCTTGGTTCTGAATTCTGACTGGATAAACATTCACCAGCCATTTGATATAAAGTACTAGTTGTCTTAGCAGTCTTGGGCAACATTGCTTCATGTTCTTTTTGTTTCCTAGCATGGTTTGTAATTCTCATTTCCATTTGATGCCTGTGCATTGATGGATCTGATTCTCATTTTCCAGATTGGAAGTGATATGATATTCTGAAGTTCTAGTTGCTTCTGCAATGCTATGATCTTCTTCTTTTGGTGCCTTATACTGTATCTAATTACAAATTCATGGAGTTTCTCCTGTTAGTCTTGGCAAACCTGTGACTTTTCTATATATTCCTTGGTAACAGCTATCCTTCTTGTGTACCAATTTTCAATTTATGTGATTGATGGCTATCTGGTTTACACATTGAATCTGTGTTCAATCTTCTCATTCTACTTATAGAAGTTCACTTCCAATGGGTCAATGCACATGGATTAATTGGTCTTCTGACCTTTCACACTTTTCTATATTGCTACTTTCGACTACTCAAGTTGAGTGTTCTTTCACAATTTCTTGTATGCTTACAGCAATCACTGTCTAATAAGGAAAGAAAAATTCTGTTTGTTATTTGATTTCTAAAGGCTTGGGTCAATTAATTGGCGATGTTTATTGGTGTTGATTTTCCATGGTGCATTGGAAGCTATCAGAATATTTTTAATGAGATTTCAAACTTTCATGATTGATTTTATAGCAAAGAATGCTAGATTTATTATAGAGTATATTTTTATTATTTAATGAAAACTTATGAATCTCTGCAGACCACTGGAAAATGAAAGGATGCGGGATGAATTGGAGAAAGCTGTAAATATCATATGGAACTGTCAGCTACCATCACCAAGAGTAAGTAAAGCCATTTACTTATTTTTATTCTCATCATCCCACCTTTTAACATTTATTTTATTTTCAACTACCAAACAGTGCGTTGCAATAGATGCTGTTGTTGAGCTTGATTTGGTCTCTGCTCTACTAGTGTCCATCTTCCCAGAGCTTATCTTCACTAAAGCTGGAAAGATCTTATACTGTGAGAAAGGTAGATTTTCTAGTAAATAAATTATATTCTTGGCACAGCCTCAGCCTTGAATCAAAATAATTGTATTATATTTTATTTTTTTTCCTGGTATTCAGCGATTCAAACAGCAGATGAGTTGTCAAAAATAATGGCATTCTTTTATTACGGAGCAGCCAAACTGCCTAGCTTGAATACCGTTAGAAAGAGTGAAGAACCAATCCCTACCATTTGAATCAACAGCGAATAGTGTCAGAATAAAAGTGTACATAACTATATATATGTATGCTATGGTTTGGAGAATGAGTTTCTGGGTTAGCGATGCTGTGTTTACCATGTTGTTCCCCATACAGATCAATGGACACCATGAAAATTTAGCTCATATGTACATTCTAGGGGAGATTTATAACTACATTTAGCAATTGTTTGTTAATTTCAGTGTGAAAACTGAAAATTTTGTTATTTATGAACAAGATGAATATGGAGTTTCTTTTTTTTTTTTTCTTTTTTTTTCTTCTCTCAAATAGTTTGTGTCCTGTTCTTTAATCCTTGATTTTGGTACCAATATAAATACTAGCTTGTTGCATTCATTACACAACCAATTGGTGTATGGAGAGGGCTCACATGAAAGGAAATTTCTCAGGGCCTGTGTATTCTTTGATTTTAGACATTTTCAATATGCTGTGCAGAGTTTCTAGTACTCTTTGAGAGACACGGGGGCTTATGAGTTCATGTCTATTTAGGCATTTATAGCTTTGAAAATCGAAGAGGGGATTCGTATTTTAGCTACCAACTTGGCATTGGAACATTGGTGGTCGCCCCCCTAATGAACACTTCATCAAGTGTGACCTATGCAAATGTGTTCCACGTGGAGTTCCATACACAGTGACAATTAATTTGTAGAGTTTATGCAAGCTATAATCCACACAACTCATGACACAAGTAAAAAGACTTCAAAATTAACATTCTCACAAATAATTATCCGCAGAAATTGAATTTCAAATCATCTCAAACAATAAAAGGCACAAAAACCGGTCATATGGCATGCTAGAGGCCCCAATATCCACCGCGACGAACATTATTACACACTGACAAATATGGTCTACATTTAATCTTTATTTTACAGAAAAGAAACTAACATAGCAGAGTTGGATAACAGAACAATTGACTTGATCCACCTCCTATTAGATAATCTCATACCCATGAACAACCCAAAACCTTCCCACCAACAAAGCATTCGATGCCACAGCCACTTCAATACTAGCAGCAGCCATCGTGACCCAAAGAGCATGGCAGCACCTGCTATTACAAAAGCAATAATATTACCTCCAATGACACAGAAAAACAATAGAAAACAAAAACCTATAAAAGATGAAACGTACAATCTCTTAATCATGGAGGACTCAATGAGCTCTTAAGTTCCCGGGTGTACTTACCCTGTCATAGGTAGCCACAAATTCATACCATCAACAGTATAGAAAGCAAACTTTAGACATTTATGGCCATTTTGAAGCAAACCAATCTGAATAGACCATCTTAGATAGGTCAGGTTAAAAATAAATAAATGATTTATGTTCTTCAAACATAATTAGGTTCAAAAAAACAAATGATTTGCCTTCAAATAATTTGTTACATTAATTTGTCCTGCTTGTATATGAACTAGCTGCTGATCACCATTTCATAATGATTGTTCTCACAAATTATGTATGTATGCATCATTGATGAAACATAGGTAAGACGATGAGAGCTATAAAAAAGCTAAAGAAGTAGTCGACCATATTGATGGAAAGGAGCTTGGAAGAACATTTAGCTCAGATTTTGCTATTATAAGGCAAGGTTTAGAACTAAATAAACCAACCATTAGATGAATTCTTTCAATTCAAGTAGTTCGGATACACTTGAATTTGAAAATTTTCTTTGGGCAAGCTTTCTTTAAAAAACACAAAAAACAATTCAAAGAAAATATGTAACTATTTTTAACCAATAATTGTGATTGACAATGAAAATTGAAGTTCAAATTATGAATCATGCAAAACATGTCAGGCTTGATCAATTTTATGACAAATGTTTGTCATGAGAGGTACTATTCATCACACAAGTCCTAGTGCATGATTACATCCAATGTCTTAGGATAGGTTTATTTCGCCATAAAATATCATGGTTAATACTATTTGATGTATATATCAAATCTCATTATTTTCATACACATTGAATATTTTTCTTCTCTTTCTCTCTCTACATACATATATGTATATATATACCTATATATATATATATATATTATGGTTGAGCAATTGATCAAAATTAAGGTTCAAAGTTAAGGTTTGGGGTTATTATTTTTGTTATATTCAATCCTTGTCTTCTTTTATTCTTGAATAAGGATAAAAGACAATTTAGTCCCTAAAGTATACGATGTTTTTTATTTTAAGGGGGATTTGGTGATTGCCCCCTCACTATCTAATTTGTCTTTCAAAAGGACAAGAATTATATAAGTACTTTTAAAACCCCCTGATATTTTAAAACTTGTTTCTTTTACTATATTACACTCATATTTATCAGCTCTCCTATTAAGCCATCTTCACTATGTATTTCAGAGTAAAATTTTACTCTGAATAAGAGTAAAATGTTACACTCTGAAACTAAAAGTAAAATTTTACTCTGTATAAAAGTAAAATTTTACTCTGTATACAAGTAAAATTTTATACTCTGAAACTAAAGTAAAATTTTACTCTGAATAAGAGTAAAATTTTACACTCTGAAACTAAAAGTAAAATTTTACTCTATATAAAAGTAAAATTTTACTCTGAAAAACAAGTAAACTGTGAGACTCTGAAGCTAAAAGTAAAATTTTACTCTGGTTCTATCAAATGAAAAAAACAGAGCAATAGAACCAGAGTAAAATTTTACTCTGGTTCTGCCAAATGAAAAAAACAGAGCAAAATGAAATTAGATCAAAAACAACAAAAATAAATCAAAAAAAAAACAAACAAACAAAAACAAAATAAATTAATCGACAAATCAACATCTCTAACCGAGAAGAAACACTTCTAAAACTCCATCAACAATCACACATCTCAATGAAAATAATACATGTGTTCAACAACACTCATACATACAAATATATATATATATATATATATTCAAAACTCAAATCATCCTCTTTTCCATTGGAGTAAATTCCAAATGCAGTAGTGAACAACAACAATGCAACGCATTAGCTTCGTATTATGTTTGGGACGGATCGAATCTCACATATATATCCAAATTACTTTTCTCTTCACTATCCCAAATCCAAATCTACAATCCTCAAATCACCAATCCAGACTCTGTTTAGCGCGATTCCAGAGTCAATGTCCCCTTCTTATGTGCTTGCATTGGCGAACTAGGGTTTCTAGGTCACGAGTTCGTTTATGTCACGCCCCTAACTCGCCCCTAAAAGTTCGGGCATGACCTATTCTCAAACAGACGTATAACCTGGTATACATATAATATATGGGGCCTTCGACGGAAGCACATAAACATACAAGAATACAAAATCAACTAATTCCATTGAGCTATCTCTAATATGCCAGGATCTCATACATTACATGCACCATAAGAAGTTGATAGAATCCAAAAATATTCCTTAGCAGAAGATATATTTATAAACACATATACAGACCTAGCCCTATAGTCGGGCATGCAACAAAACTTTTGGAATTATACACAATCAACCTTGGAAGGGTAACCAAGAAGTAAGCCAATTATCTTAGTAGACTTCACAAAATGGGTGGCCTTGTGAGTGCTTGGATACACGAAGGTTGTCAAAAAGAACCGGGCATCATAGATTAGGATTGACCACCTGATTGATTGCCTACAGAAACAGACATAACAGAGAGTGAGCCGGGCTCAGTGAATAGTAATACATAATGAAGCAATGCTCAACTTGAACATGACATATAACATTATATGTGTGAATGCAAAGATTACAAAGGTAGTCTGATTCTGTATGCATCTTATATCGGCCTTAGGCCCATACCTGAACATAAAAACTTGATATATCATATTCTTAATTCATAACAGCTTAAAGCCCTTAACATGGTGGCATAATGCCCTTAAACATAGTGGCACAAGGCCCTTAAACATGGTGGCACAAAGCCCTTGTAACATATGGCACTAAGGCCCTTGAAACATGTGGCACAAGGCCCTTGTACTTGTTGGCATTAAAGCCCTTGAAAGTGGCATAAAGCCCTTGAAACCATACTTATACGGACTCAAGAGGTGTCTCACCCGGACTCTAGAGGTGGCTCACGTCGTAGCACTTAGTTCCGAGTAGCACTTTGTTCCATATCTTGATAACTTATCTTGAATGGCCATAGGCCTAGAGTCTTATAGAACATAGGTGTTTTATCTTTCTTATTTCATTCATTACATACTTGGAGCATACTGGAGCATCAACATACATACTTACACACTTGAAACATTAATCTTAGTTGCGTACTTGAGACATTAACATAATCGCGTAAACGAAATGCTAATGAAAATCATTATTCATGTGTAAGGAAGATAATGATACTACTACTCACAGTGTTGCGATGACGTGCTTGTTCTTCCCAGAGTGTGCCCTGCACACATTCAACCTTACACACTTTAATTTCCTTTCCATATTAAGTCACTTTCTGTTTCATTTTACTTCAAAGAAATTCATACATATTAAAAGGCATCAAATACATATTCCGACAACATTAGAGAGTTCTACACGCAAAACGGAGCAAACCATATTTTTCAGCATGAGCCGCACGTGCGGCTGTGAGCCCTGCACGTGCGGCAGTTGGCCCCGCACGTGCGGCCATGACCCCCGCACGTGCGGCGATTCTGACCAAAATGTCCGAAAATTTCATACAAAATCCCATCTTTTGGTACATCCCCACAAGGCTCATTTTGACATATTTAGTTGACAATACTTAATCAAAAATTCATATTACAAAGGCTTCAAGTACATACATTAAAGTAGGTAACATTAGTTCTTGAATTCTTAACTATGATCAAATGTTCTCCTTTTTCAACAACATCACATATATTGCATCAACATACATATATAAGGTATGTTCTTCATGATCTTTCATGAGAAGGAAAGAAACTAAGCCAAATTCTCCACATACATACACAAGCAACCTAGTTCAAACTCATCCAATGGATAAAACACGATTCAATTACCCCTTGGGTTCAATTGTCATGGTTGTATCATCCTCAAATTTAAGAGAGGAATTATAAAAGTTAGACAAACTTACCTTGAGTTGAAATCTCCCCAAAGTCCCTCTAGATTATGCAACCTCTAGCCTTTAGTGAGACTCCCTTCTCAATCCTCTCCACTCTTACTCTCACTATTCTTTTTCCATGAAATGTGCTGAACTCCCCTCAAAGCTCAAAGAACACACATATATATATATAAGGCTAATAAGACGAAAATCAATCGTTTTAAACATCCGAAATCGAAATTTCATAAACATGCTTAATATTACTTAAAAATCATGCTGATCATATATGTGAAATCAATTCCAGTTAATCAAGCCTCTAAGGCTTCCAATTTCTGATCTAAACATTCTCATTCAACAGATACTTTTCTTATTGAACAGATAGACATCTTCAATCATATGGTTTACTCACTTAAGGATTCCACAGTAAGCATTCAAAATCACCAAAATAGGACCCAAAATATAACAAAGAACCTGTACGAGGGTCGGGTTATTACAGTTTACGAGGTCCAATCGGAGGAGACCTACAAATTGATTGCCGAGAAGAACTATGCGAGTCTCACTACTGTTGAGATGTTGTAGAGATTTAACCGGAAGCTCTTCAGACCGCACACGCAGCTCGGTCGTGAACGGCCTCCTCAAAAAACTGAACGATTCGATGAATTGTTTCACAGATATCCGGCAATTAATCACGGCTGAGTACAAAGAGACAGTTGAACGACGATACTACACAGTGACAGGTGAAAAGGCGGATGAATCGACGATCGATCGGTTGATTGCGACGGGAGAGAGTGAGATGTTTTTGCAGAAGGCGATTCAGGAGCAAGGGCGAGGGAGAGTGATGGAGATGACAATGGAGATTCAAGAGAGGCTATAGAAAGTATAATTTTAAATAATAAATCATAATTTAGTTGAGGGTATAATAGTCTAATAAAATATTTAAATAATAAATTTTGTCCTTTATGCAAGATTTTATAATTATGAGGGGGTTTAAAAAGTATAATTTTTTTCTTAGTCCTTTTAACAATGAAAGGAAGATAAAGGGGGTTTATAGCTAAATTTCCCTTATTTTAATCCCTTAAGTTTCAATTTTCTCATTTTGATCCTTAAAATTGTCAATTTGAGTCAATTTAGTCATAGGTCTAACGTGAGTCTACATGGATAATAGGAATATGAATAAAATATAGTTTTGGTCCCTAAAATATTCGTTTATTGTCATTCTAGTCCCTCAAGTTTTAAAGTTTGTCATTTTAGTTATCAAAGTTGTCAATTTGATTATAGCTTAAATTAACAACTTTGAGAACCAAAATGACAAAATTTAAAACTTGAGGGACTAACATGACAAGAAATGGATGCTTTAGGGACCAAAGTTATCTTTTACCAAAAGATAAAATATTTTTTTTGTTATCAATGTAAACAAACGTTAGCGATGGAACTAAGATTCAAATTGACAACTTTGAGGACCAAAATGACAAAATTGAAGATTGAGAGACTAAAACTGTCTTTTATCCCTTGAATACTGATATACAAACATAATTTGCATACAAAAAAATCTATATATAATGGTATGTTACATTTATATCCACTCATTAAAAACAAAATTTTCATTATTATAATTCATAATTGTAAGAGTATTGTTGTCACATCATTTATGTTTAATCTTATACGAAAATTATATATATGAATATTATCTTTCTGTATTTTTTTTTCTTTTTAAAGTTTACTCTATAATTAATTCTTTATTAATATTTTTGTTGGAGAAAATATTTTAGTGATAACCAAACATCCAAAAATAAAAATAAAAATAAAAATTTCTTTTTGGACAAAATTACCTTACATGAAAAATATTTTATAACAGAACAAACGGAGCCTTGCTGTTGAAATCTCAATCAATTTGAGATTAATTTGTTTAACAACTCCTACGAATTGGAGAAAATATACAAATTCAAATTTAGATACTGAACAAATTAAGGTGAATGTTAATTTATTATTTGGTGATTTTCTTTTTTTTTTTAAATTATTTATTTATAAATGGGTTACCCCTTGGCTATTTATTTAATATAATGTGTTACAGTTGCAAACCAACTAGTAATACAATGAGCAAAAGAAGAATCATATACCTTAATAGTGATTTCTGGTATGTGCGCAATCTTATACCAATCCTCCCCCTTTCCCTTCTCACATTGCCTTTCCAGTTCACGGCAGTTGATAATGTGCAACGATTGGAAAGATTCACAGCCTCGTAGCCCTTCCTCTGGCAAAGACTCGAGCTTTGGACATCCTTCGATCTTCAATGACTTCAATGTGACAAGGCTTGCAAGGTCTCTAGGCAACACTTTAAGCTCATGATAATTCTCAATCACTAGTGACTCAAGAAGAGTAAGGTTCCTCAGAAAATCTTTTGGAAAACAAACCATCTTGTCAGCATAACCAATAATAGTGAGGGAAGTGAGACCATTAAGATTTGATATTGAATTTAGTACCATGGTGGTGCACTCGCCAAGCAACGACAATTCTTTGGGAGCCGAAAGATACGGGTAGCTCAATTTAGGACAATCAATAATATCTATCTTACGAAGACGAGGGAACAACTCTCTTCCCTCCTCCCTTGACAAACCTTCCAATTTCGGACAATAGCGAACTGCGAGTTCTTCCAAAGATGGGAATCCTCCACCGCCAGGATATTCGTTTTCAATACACCCCACTACTTTCATTCCATTAACTTCAAGGCTTTGTAGCAAAGGTAGTTGTCCAAGCGGTGGAAGTTGTAAGCAGTTGTTGCACCTGGAGAGCTGGATATTAACTACATTTTGAAGATATGAACCCCTCATCCAGAGCGGGAATTGAGTACCTTTGTACCCTCTTACGATCAACTCCTTTAGGTTTGGATGAGGTTGAAGGGCTTCAAGTACTAGCTCAGATTTAACATTTTCCTGTGCTTCAGATTCAACATTTTCTTGTGATTCATATTCAGCAAATTCATATTTCCAATTTAGTTGCAACTGACTAAGATTTTGCATTCCCACTAAATTGGCTTCTTTTGCATCCATCGGATTTCTCACTCTCTCAAGGTAGGAGATACAAAGTTCTCCTTGAAGGTTTAAGCATTTCAATTCAGCTAGGAGACTCCAATCAGTGCTCTTACCCACAATAAATTTATTTAATGTCTTCAGGTTAGTCAGCTGCCCAATTTTGGGGGGCATCTCAATTAACGGACACCGTGATAGAAAAAGATGTCGGAGACATCTCAGGCACCTCATGTTCTGGGGCAATCTCTCAAGCATCAAACAGTAGTCTAGAATTAATGCTTGCAAATTCAAGAGATATCAAATTGAATCAGGAAGTTGCTTGATACAAGAATGGGAAAGGTTCAAATACCTCAGATGTTTTGAGTTGCCAATTGAAGGTGTCAACTCTGCCAGTTTGCCCGGTGCATCAAAAGCTCGCAGTGAACCAAACATTCTGAAATCACACAAAAATAAGTCATGTGCTAATAAGTACTTTGAACGTTGTAGTCGTAATGTCCGTAAGGATACAACTTTGTTAAATGTGATATGAAAATTGTCCTCATGCCCGGCAAACAAATGTTAGATGATGAGCTTTTCCGTTGTATATATTACTTGAACTGTTAAACTCGATCATTTGACATTCACCCTTCATAATTGATTGGGCAAGATCGTGCACAAGATCATGCATCTCGAAACATATATCACCTCCGTAGTCCTTCACCTCTTGGAAAAAAGATATCAAACATAATTCATTCCAAATCTGATCACCAATATCTTCCGGTTCCCATCATCCTTTGCATGAAATATAGCCATTAGCCATCCAAAGATTAATTAGTTCTCCCTTTTGAATTCGAGAACCCTTTGGGAAAATGGCACAATAAGCAAAACAATGTCTTGATTCCAATGGAAGATAAAAGTAACTTAATCTTAAGGCAGGCAAGATGGAATTTTTGTCCTGGGGTAATTTCCAAATTTCACTTTCCTTAACATGAAGCCACTCTTTTTCCTCACTTTTGAAGCGCATTAGCCCTCCGAGGGCCTTTGCAGCTAAAGGCACACCCCCGCACTTCTTCACTATCTCCTTCCTAATGGCAACAACATTTGGGCGTTCTTCATTTCCAAGTCCAAATGCTCGTTGCCTGAACAACAACCAACAATCTTCTTTGGATAAAACTGACAAGCGATGAGGTGAAATAGTTCCCATGATTGATGCAACCTTATCAACACGAGTAGTGACGATAATGGAAGCACCTTTTGATCCACATGCTAGTGAATACTTGAGCGCGTCCCACTTGTCTGGATCTTCGTCCCACACATCATCTAGTACAATCAGGTTGTTAGGTTTTATTTTTGGCAATCCCATTTGACAAAACTCCTTTCAGTTGTATTTATTTTCGCACTTTTATTTCAGTGAGGCTATGAGTGTTTAGATGTGAATCCAACCCGAATTGTGCCTTTCAGAGAAGTTTGTGATGATAATGCTTTCAAGATTGCCACTTCGCTGATTATGACGGGGATCGAGCTGCCCGGTCAGCTCGCGGAGGTCCAGGGGGCAGCGCCCCTTGGCGGGTCCGGGGCAGCGCCCCCGAAGCAAAATGTAAAAATGCATTCCAAGTTGCCTGTCCGCTCGAGCGGACATGACCCCGCTCGAGCAGAGAATCCCTGGTTTCAGAAGTTTGTCAAGTCTGTAAAAATACTGGAATGTGTGATTTCGCGCTCGAGCGGGTTCTCTAGCGCTCGAGCGGACCTCTATTATATCACGCGCATATTTTGGTGAAGCCGCTCGAGCGGGCTGATGGGCGCTCGAGCGGAGATCGCGGGACAGATTCTATAAATTCGCGTATTGGGACAAATTTTAGGATTACTACTCCAGATCTTCTTTTTGGGTTCTAGGGTTTATATCTGGGGATACCTTGTGAATTTTCTTTGATGTTTTATTGAGTATTCAACTCATAGTTTAAAGAGAGTACATCAAAGGTTTTGTTTGCTATACTAAAGAGAGAGTTGTTCTTTGGTGGGTTCTGAAGAATTCGAGCCTGAAGCTTTGGTGGATTCCGGGGTGGCTCATCAAAAAGACAATTCCGAGGTGAAGACGGGTTGGAAGAGGCACATAGAGGTTGGTTCAATTAGGCGTGGATTCGCTAGGTAATTGAGAGTATACCTGTGTAATTCCTTTAAGTCTTCTTAGTGGATTGTTTTGTGGCTGTTGCCCGTGGTTCCAATTGTGGTTTTTTCCACGTAAAATCGTTGTGTCTCTTTGTCTTGATTGTTTGATTGGGATTGTTATATTCTGCTTAAAATTGATACATAATCACAAATCAACATCTAGGGGATTTCTAGATTTTTCACAGGTATCTTTTCCTATTCAGCATGTCGCGAAGCTTTCTCTGCAGTGAGTCTAGGTCAACTGCCTCACAAGCTTTTCCAATTGCAGATTCTATTGTTGCTTTGATCACCCTTTTCATATCAAAATCTTGAGAAACATAAACCCAAATTTTAGGATCGAAGTGGGGTTTGACCCTCTCATCATTGAAGGCCATTTGCGCAAGGGTTGTCTTTCCAAGACCGCCTATACCAAGTATAGGATACACAGAAACATCCTCAATATCACATACATCCTCGGCCAGAAATTTGACAATCTTTTCTTTATCTCCATCTCTTCCGTAGAGTTGTGGTTCAGTGATAACGGAGCTGGTTTCACGGCTTACATCATATTCAACTCGTGTCTCCACCACAACTCTCTCAGCCAAGTGAAATTTACTGCGATTAGCAGCAATTGCATCTAACTTCTGTGTAATCTCTTTTATTCTGTTCCCTATTTTGTGACGAAACAGAACATTTTGAACAGGATAACAAGTTAACGAAGAAGTGCTTACCTTCTTGACAGAACCATAACCTTGAACTTTCAATTCACATTGGAGGGCTTCGGTTGTGCACTCATCCAAGATGTCATCTGCCTCGTAGGCTGCATCATTGAGCTCTTTCAACCAATTCTGTATAGCTTTGTCTTGCAGTTGCTTTTGCTCTGCATCTTCAAGGACAGCCTGGATGGTGGAGAGAGTGCTTGAAAGCTTTTTCATCTCCGTGTTTACTCCACAGAGCAATCCCACCTCATTTTGGATCAAGGAGTTGAGATTTTTAAGCACAAACGGAAGAAATGGAACAGCCATGGTCACTTGCTTTCTGGATTCAAGGTGTTAGGCTCAAAAATGAAATTGCAAATGCTTTGCCAAACTGAATGACCAATTTTTTTTTTTTTTTTGCAAAGGTTTAGCTTTGGAAAATTCGCCTACTGTAAAGAAGTGTACATATATGTTTATGTTTCCAACATTGCTTTGTTAATTGTAAGGACATGTGCATCCCACTGGTTTCATGGTAGGACTGTCCATCTCCTGCAGCAGTTCATTTTCGCTTGTCTAGCGAAGAAATAAACAATCTGTTATTTCTCTGAGGGGAATCTTGATATAAAAATCGTTGAATTTACACGCATATCAAAATTGAATTAACCAATAACATTTTCAATTCAAAATGGGTGCAATTTACTGCATTTGCTACCTAACTCCCAAGTAGAACCAGTGCCACTGTTAAGTTAATTATATTGGATTGTTTAGGCACAAGCAAGCGTCCAAAATTGCTTTGGTTCTTTGGACATGTGGTGTGGCGCTTTTACTGAGACGGTTGGGCCTTATTTTTTCAACGTGATCGACTCCTTTTTTTTTATAAAAAAAAATTATTTATAAACAGTATTTTTATGCATAAAATTTATCCAAAATAAATTGACATTGATATTTTTGTAATTATAAATCATAATAGTCGGTGTGTTTGTCTCAAGAAAAAAAAGTTTTTTTGCGAGAGCGCGTAAGTTCATAATGTTTGCATCCCACATTGGTGGTAGATGATGTCCAAGATAATGGTACAAAATATCTCTATTATGAAGGCGCATTTTTTGGACTTTTTATCAAAGTTTTAACTGCTACTAAACAGATTGTTAATTATTTGTTGGGCATTCTAAAAATTAGATATAATATATAAAAAAATATTATAATTAACATCAAACCAAATTAAATATTTTTAATAAATCAATTGAGTCTCATACTCTACTAAGGAGATATACCCAACAATTCTCCCCTTACCGACTTAGGTGGAACTATCAACCATATCCGCCAAAGTTCGACACTTCAAATGTTTGTCCCTCGATGAAGTCTTAGTCAACATATCCGAAATATTATCATCCGTGTGAACTTTTTCGAGTTGTAACAATTTTAAATCTAACACATCACGAATCCAATGGTATCTCACATCAATGAATTTCGATCTCGAATGAAAAATAGATTTTTTTACTCAAATGAATAGCACTTTGACTATTATAATAAAACACATACCTTTCTTGCTTCAAACCTAATTCTTGCAAAAATTTCTTCAACCATAACTCTTCCTTACAAGCTTCTGTAATGGCAATAAATTTAACTTCTGTAGTTGAAAGAGTAACACATTTTTGCAATTTAAATTTTCATGCCACAGCTCCCCTACAAAAGTCATCAAATACCTCGAAATATATTTCCTAGAGTCAACATCACCGGCCATGTAGGGATCTCTGAACCCATCAAGTATTGGCTTACCTATAGCGATCCAGGTCTTTGACCCGTCCTTGTGGTGTTCTGGACTCGGATTTCATGGTTAGAAAGTATTATCTACGTTTTTTCTTCCTTCCACTCTTTGAGTTTGAGTTTTGGGATGCCTTAGGAGTGTTTGGAACTGGTTAGTTGCAAGTTGTTCAAATTTTTGTCCTCTAGAATTTTGGCTCTTCGCTCGAGCAAGACTTCTTGCGCTCGAGCGAGCTTTGTGAGCTCCCAGTACTTTTGCAGAAAAGAGTCCTTCGCTCGAGCGAAGATTCTTGTGCTCGAGTGAGGAATACCTCTGAAAAACTTCTGAAGCTTGGTATTTTACGCTAGAGCGACGCTTCTTGCACTCGAGCAAGGCAATTTTTTTGTGTCTGGTCGGTCGAGCGAGAACTCCTTCACTCGAGCAAGCCCGGCGTATATCAGTCACCAGCAGCGCCATTTTGCTTCACTTTGATTTCTTCTTCACTCAAAAAACCCTAAATCTACAGCTTCTCTCTCTAGAAGTCACCTTCTGTCTTTGATTTCTCCAAATCCATTGGGATTTATGTCTAAGTTCTTCACCAAAGTTGGTTATCACCTCGAGGGCTTCGTTGTGTGCGGTGGAGATCGAGTTTTGGCATCATTGATTTTGGGGTTTCATCTCAATTTTTCTTCAAAACTTGAGATAGGAATTTTCTTTGAGTTATATATATATATATATATATTTGCAAGATCTAGATGATTTTCGAAATCATCCTTTGATTAATTTTGGAAAATAGGTTGTTGATTGAAGAAGATGAGTGATTTTGAAAGTGTGCCTACTTTCTAATTTTTTTTTTTTTTAAGAATTGAGGGTGTTGAACTATGTTGCAAAAAGAAAGATGTTTTCGGTGAGATCTTCTTAACTATTTGAAAATGGATGGTTTTGGTGAGAGAACCTAGAAATTGGGGGGTTTTTTGAAAGATGTTGAAAATCTTTGGGGGATGTTGTTATATTTATTTTGTGTTCTAAAATAAATGATATTTTTGTGCAGGAAAGGATGTGGTGAATCCGCCCAACTGAGGGCGTGGAATTGTGTGTGTTGGGAGCACAATGCTCTCATTATGTGTGACTCTGTTTTGTAAGCCAAGGACTTTATTTATGTGGATTTGAATAACCAATTTGTGTAAACCAGGCTTAAGCCTTGGAAACTTGTAAACCCATGAAGGTATGTATTTGTTTATGATATTTGATTTGGATCATGTAATGCAAGTGTGAGGATTTATATCCAGTTTTTTTATCTTAAAGAGCCATGAATATTATGTTATCATTTGGGCATGAAAATGTGGGCGTTCCAACTTGGTATCAAAGCTACCAGGTTCGAATACTTGGAGCTCGTGGGAAGTGGTAGTTTTACCACAATGGGTTCATGATTGCAGGATAGGAAGTTGCATGATAGGGTGATGTTATGCATTTTGTGACTATGTGATAACATGTTTATGTGGTTATATAAGTATGGGATTGAACTTTTGGGATGTTGTTTGCACCTGTTAAATTCCTTGAGATCTTCTTAGAAGGGTACTTGATCAATACTCGTTCTACAAAGAATTCTTGATTTTTCGTGGGATGAATTTCATCATAAAAGAATAATCCGTATGTGTTTACATGACTAAATGCTTATGTGGAATAAAATTGAAATGTCTATATAGTAGAGAAATATATATAGAATTGTTGTGATTGGACATGTGAGGCAGGTATGAGCACATATGGGTTAGTGTGATAAATTATTTCTTTGTCCTTTATAGGATGTCAGGAAGAGGTCGAAACCGTGGTGATATAGGCGGGAGACGTGGTAGGGCCCGCCGGGGTGTGCATGAGATACCGGTTCATGGGGTTCCAGTACAAAAGGAAGGGACAGGCCAACCTTATGTAGTCGAACCAGTGGGTCAAATCACAATAGGGACCCTAGCTAGAGAGATGGCAGGGGCTATGAATTTGTTGAGGGCAGAGAACCGAGCCCGAGAGAATGCCCCGAGTTTCTTTACTTGAGAGTTTTTGCGAGCCAAACCGGATGAGTTCCTTGGTGGCCACGAGCCAAGGAAAGCGGATGAGTGGCTCAAACAAACTCTGAAGATATTCGAGATGCTTCACATTGAAGATAGTGAACTGAGGGTGACTCTAGCAAGTTACTATCTAAAGGGGGATGCGGGTCAATGGTGGAAGTACGCCAAGGGTGGAGTAGAACCGACTTGGGAAGCGTTTGTGATTGCTTTCCAAGAAAAGTACTTACCTCCCTCTGCTAGGGAGAGATTGAGGCAAGAGTTTCTGGACCTCAAACAAAATTTCCTGTCCGTGGCCGAGTTTGAGGCGATTTTCACTAGTCTTTAGTAGTGCGTGATATGTCTACATAATCCATAATCCCTAATCTGTTGCATCGAGCTTGAGAAGCGATTGAGGACCAGACTTCTATCTTGTACAAAATTGCCAGAACTATGCCCGTCTTGTGGAAGCAGCGGCACATGTAGAGGTTACTGTGCAGGCTAAGGAGGAGAAACTTCGGGGTTCAAGGTCTAGGGGCCAAGAACCACAAAGAAACTATAGGCAGAATAAGAGGAGCAGGGGCAACGTTTCGTCCCAGTCCCAACCACAGTAGTCTAGATCTACTTTCCCTTTGCCTAGTTTGGGCTCGGGAAAGTGTACACAAAATAGCTTCTCTTATTTCAAGGTTGGCTAACCGGGTCACAAAGCCTTTGCATGCCCACAGAAGGGAGGAGGGCAGTTGATGTTACCACCACCACCTAACCGATCTCAAGGCCAGCCCCAGAATAAAAGTCAAGGGTTTGATTGTTTTCAATGTGGTCAACCAGGACACATGAAGAGGACTTGCCCATAGTTGGGAGGCACGTCTGGCACATCAGGGTTAAGGTAAACTCAGAGCCACCAGCAGGCTCATTCAGCTCAGACCTCACGAGTTAACCAGGGAGTCACCTCGGCTCAGTCCGTATACCAGGTCTATGCTCCGAGAGATGAGCAAGTTTATCAGGGGCCACAAGGGCGTGTGTATACTATCACCACCCCAGAGCAATTGCCAGGACCCTCAATTGTGAGAGGTATTTTTGTTATGTGCAATACTTTGGCTAATGTATTAATAGACACGGGTGCGTCTCATTCATTTATATCTGCTGCATTTGTTTCTACATTGGAGATAGATGTGGCATAGTTAGCGACTCTGCTCAGAGTAGAGTCACCTGTTGGGGGTGTGACTGATTTAGACCGAGAGTGTCATGATTGTCAGATAGAAGTCGCCGGACATCGACTTCCATTTGCTTTTGTGCTGTTAGACATGTCGAGTTTTGATGTCATATTAGGCATGGACTGGTTATGTTTGTACCGAGCCGTGATTGATTGTTATCGTCAGAGAGTTACAGTTTGCACCTCGAGTGGTGATTATTTTTACTTTCTGGGAAATCGACTTGATAGGGTTTTGTCGCCAGTCTTTGACCATCGTAGTAGGAGCAAGCTTAGTGGCCTTCTTGCAACTCTCTTCAATAGTGAGAGTGATGGGGTGCGTGTTGAATTGCCAAGGGTAGTTTGTGAGTACTCAGATGTCTTTCCCGAGGATCTTACTAGTTTGCCATCCCACTGGGAGATAGAGTTCTCCATTGACCTAGTGC